TTTACTAAAAGAAACGTGAAAATTATATTATTTAACCAAAGGAGGCTTTTAAGTCGACATTTATATGGCGTAATAGATTTCTGAAATTACACAATAAATCTCAGAGATCTCGGTGCCTTCGACCTACTTGTAATAAATTTCTGTTAGAGGAGAATATTAAGGTATACTTTATTTCAAATATGTCATTTTGAATTATACGAGATTCGAATTGCTCTGTCGCATATTGAAAGTGTACGGAATCGTTTCATTAAACAGACAATTAAATTAATTTAAATGGTCTGGGATAAATGAATGACTTCTGAATGTAGGTTCATTTAAAACGAATTATAAATAGAATTTATATATATATATATATATATATATATATATATATATATATATATTGAATAGTCTTGAATTTGATGTTAATATAATATATTTTACTTAAGCTTAAATAAAAATTTGAGTTCAGAAATTTTTGGCTATGGTCATATAGAATTTTAATCTACTATTTCTGAGTTTGTTTTCATAGAACTTTCACTGATGAAGTGAATGTACTTTGTGTGTTTGTGACAACATTAATGATGTTAATTCTCGTGTAACTACATAACCATCTGTATTTAAATCTCGTATCTCTATACCGAATCGTTTAACTTGATCTTCTTCAATTTAACTCTGCAATTCGTATTGTCCCAAGGGATCGACTGGTGGCACAGTTGCAAAAATAATTTAGGTTCAAAGTACATATTTAACGAAGTAGGGAACGACAAGCTCTGCACTGTATGCGGTTGATGACAATTCTATTTATTTTTATAATTAAATCCGGTCGCGTCGGTTCAGGATACGCCGGGAGGGAATGACTGCACTGTATTTGCATAGCGAAATCACTGTAATGTTTAACGAAGCTTATATTACTACAATTCGATTTGGATTACGAGTTTGGTTTAAATCGGGATGTTTTATTATATTGTTTAATTGAATATATCTATTTTACTCACTAGTAAAAACTTACATTGTTTTAGAACAAATTAAATATATAAGCTGAATTTTGCATATCCGTGTATTTTCTTGAAATGCTCTATTGCTATATACTCATTCCAATGATATTTTTATTTATTCTGATCTGTATTAAAGTTCAACTGAATTGTTTAAACTATGTCCATGCTCTCTATCAACCCATGTATCGAACGAATCGTGGTTTTCCAATGCATTTCCACATTGTATTTTCACCTTTCCACCTTTCCACCTTTCGAATCCGCTTACAATGGTCTATCTCTATCTCTCTACACTCCCAGGATTAGCTATCCACCTGTCAAATGCTTGTAAATTATACAGTATTCTTGCTAGCGCACTTCCATTCTCGGTCTCGATCCTCTTGTTTCCATACTTTTTTAAAATCTACGGTAAGTTTTTAAGTACCTAGTTAATCTTTCATAAGAGCACTTTTCTCAAGACTCGGTTATTCTTAGCTCGAGCTGGCACAGGTTTCTTAGGAAATGAATATTCCGGATTTTTATCAGTGAGTTATTATTTGAAACTGGGTTTTGAATTATGGTGCTAGTGATTCAAAATATTGATATAATAAAATCATTATTATATTAATTTCACTACATATGTGTATATCTATATATACGTGTTATTAGCCTTCATTTGTCTTCATTCAAAATATAATATTACATTTCACTACTCTGGATAACAAAAGCTTGTATTATATTACAATTGTAATACTTGCAAATATCGTATACATTTTTCCAGTCTACATGATTTTTAAACTTTTAAATAAATATCGCGTTAAATTTAGTGATAGTACTACAGTATTCATCCAATTTAACATATCCAAATCTAAAATGCTAAAATTACTAACGATGTTCATTGGTAGTTAGATTAAATGTACGTGATGTTACGTTTTGATTAACAGTAATTCGCAGTGTAATTACTTCAAATAATTTCGAATTTAAATTCAAAAACTCGGTACTCGACCATTTAGTCTAACTAACATCAAATAAGTTCTAAGCTTTATTTCATCCCCAGGGACATTCTTGTACACTCAAATATTTATATATATATATATATATATATATATATATATATATATATTGAGTAATATCATAAGTGTTTACAACCCCCATAAAACTAATACTATTTGAATAGTCCGTATAATTATATTTGCTGCCAGAAGGGACGTATGGGCTCCGCGCCAAACAAACGAAAAACTTCGTCCTTACATGTTTAAGAATTCCCGCATCTTTTTCGCCGCCCGTTCGTGCGAATTTCAAGAAACTTTTTCTAGAACGACTGAAAAGATTCGCGAAGATGTTTGTGTAAAAAATAAAATAATCTCAAACAACGACTAGAGGAAAACCAAACCCGACGCAAAGATGGGAACTTTTTCCGAGACTTTTTCTATACGGGCCAATAAAGTTTTCGCGACCGTGTAAATCAAATATAGACGCCGCAGGAAAAAGATAGCAGCAGAAATGGGCTTGTTAACGTTTTACATTGAGAATAGATAATTAAATAGAATTTTCCAGTAAATATTTTAAGATAAATACTGTTAATCAGATATTAATGGACAAGATGAACTTTTGGTTATCTGAATTTGAAGAAGCAGAAATTCCACAAATAATGGTGATTTGAAAAAAACACAAAAATGTGATTATAATGACAAATTTAGTCTGCATATAATGTAATTAAATAAAAATGTCAATTGTTTCTAAAGCAAATAAAAATATCTTATGAATTCAAAAAATTAAATATTGAATAAAATATTAATATTATAAATATGTGTGTAAGTGTGCATAAATATATTTATATGTGTTACCATGTAAATATAAAACTGTGAACAAATGTAATTACATAAAAGCATTTCCTATTTTATGTTTGTGAGAGATTGGAAATTGAATTAGTATTCAATCACGTTCGTTAATTAAAAAATGTGCCACGCGAAGATTTTCTGAATAAATGGTTTTGTAATCCGATAAAATCGCATGTATAAGTATTTGTGAAAAATCAATGCGGATATCTATCAATATAGATTCTCTATAAATAATATATAGGTAAACTATGAAGAATTTGAATGTTGTAAATTTACTACTGACTATTGATTGTTAGTATTTAACATTTTTAATAATAATAAAATAAAAATTACTTTTCTATTATTGAATTTACTCTTAAACTGTCAATAATAACAAATCAAAGTCAATAATAACAAAACTACCAGCGATAGGATTGCATTTTGTAGTTTATATTTTTCTCTGTCGATTTATTCTTACAGTGGTCCATTTATGATAAATTTTGATACTCGAAAATATAATGACTGGCTTGTAAATACAAGGCGACATCATTTATCAATGTCTGAATACTTTTAGCATAATTTGAATCCGCGTGTGTCTATGTTACGCGTTAGACAAATGATTGGTGTTCAACGCTCTTGTGGAAAAATGGCAAACATTATTTATAATAAGGGAGTTAGTGCCAAAGTTCAGAAAAAATAAATGAAATAAAAAGAACATATTCATAAAACGTGCGAACAAAAATGAATTGTTAAGATAAATGATCAAAAATAACTCGAACTTCATTATTTCATAATGTGGGCTTGATTCCGATGTAGCATTTTGAGTAAAATGTATATTTAATTATCTTAGCTGGTGACCTTTTTATGATATCATATTATATACAACATTATATTTCAAATTCGATCTGGATAATTTGCATTTTTGTTGATTTAATTCAATCTAATATATTTTCAATGCTATTATCATGTTAAGTGAATAGAGTCAAGAAAATGGGAAAACATTACTTCCATATCTCTATATATGTTCACTTTATACTTTATATTTAAATGTCAAATTTAAGCCTAAGAAAATGAAATCAGTATACCTAACTCCTCTACTAATTTGGAAATAAGGAACCATACGACAGGGTGATCCGACCCTGCGACCTACTAGAGACTAGATAAATGGCATGCATAAAGGTCGCATGAAAATGGATTTTTTTTAAAATGAACAACATATATGCCAACTTTAGTTTACAAAGGGCTCTATAAATTTTGGTTGTAGTAAGACACAACCTCTGTAGATAAATTATTGTCGAAATGTAATAGTTCCAAAAAAGCAAAAATTTATCATTTATTGAAAAAATGTAGTACAAATACAAACATATTTTAGGGAGACACATTAGTCAACGGTTTGACCAAAAAACATGAATCTATTTTAATTGTAGTGGATTGTATATAAATATCGGAAAGTTCAGAAAGTCGATTGTATAGGCCTTCGGAACACACCTTGATCATTAGTAGATCAATTAATCTGTTCACTAGTAGTTAAATTCTGGTAGTTGCAAAAAATAATGAATTCATACAGATACGTGACAAAATATTAATTTATTAACGCTATGAATCATTAATCTATATTTTACTATTTTTGAAAGCACGTATTCAAATGATACCAAAATATTAAACTCATAAAAATTCGAAAGTATTATTTTATTGTTAGCGTGCTTAATCAAAGCCATATAAATCCCTGACTAAAATTGATGGCGTTAATAAAACAATGAATTCGGATTTATAGATCAGTGAATTCGTTGGCTATGATAACAATGAATTGATTCAATGCAAATTTATTGATGTGCTCTGCATAATCAGTGTCCTCATACGGTCCGATAGTTATTCCGATCCTATTACGACTGACAATGGAAGATAAAACAAAATTTGGCATTTGAAACGCATTTACAAAACATATTGCGGCGCAAAACTGTGGCTTTTTTCCATCGCGTTTTATGGAACAATTTTAATGACCGTCACCAACACATTCTCATACAGTTATTCTATATTCTTATATATAGAATTATAAACTCAGTTTGTAAAGTCGAGTGCAATAATTGCAATATTTTGCATATCGGTAAAAGTCTCTAATATATTCACAAGAAATTTAATCAACATTTTTTCATTCATCTCATTTTTTAAAAATTATTCTAAGCATCATGCATTGATATGATTATAATTTATTAATAATGAAACTTACCAAAAGCTGTTAAAATGATACACAGAAGCACAACCTCTCGCAGCGATGCCATGGGTAAATCTGGTTCCCAAAATTATTATTTAAATTACACTCATAGTTCCTGCAACAAAAAAATTAAAAGGCATTAATAATAGTTAAATGAAGCACAAAACTAATATATTCTCATAAATAAAATTAATTTATAATGTTAAGATGCACCTCTTCATAATTTAAATAAATCAATAAATAATAATTATAATTTATCTCAAAATTAATAGACAGCAGACATATTTATAATATTTTCCAGCTCTCTTATTAGACTTGATAGAACTTTGCCGACCCAAGCCGCATCCAACTTTGAAAAGATTTGCTGACTTCTCGCAAAGTATAAATAGTTAATTAGCACTATTGTGCACTTAGCTAGCGTGTAAAATCGTATAATCGTTAATCCCGTACGTATGTGTAAGCCCATACATGAAAGAATTTTCCAATCTCTGTTCTCTCAATCTCTCAATCAGTTTTATACAGTAAGCAACATAATTTTTGTTAATTGTTATGAAGCTTTGTTGATTATTTTCTACTTTGAGTGAAATGCATAATATACTATTAAATATTTAATATAATTCAATACCCTAAACGCTATTTTTGGACAGAGTTTTAATTTAAGCAAAAAGAGAATATCAACACTGCTGAAACAATGTTTTGCCGGTGGAGACGCCTTGTACTTTTCGCATCTTTGTTAAAAATGAATGATTTGTAAATGTTGTGCATTAAAAATAATATTGAACTATTTAATTCTACCTGATGTCCTTGAAATTTTAATAAAATTTATAAAGAATTACTTTGATATTAAATTTTACATAAAGTTAACAAAAAATACTATTGTGTTTAGTCTTCAATATAAATGAATGAATATATATTTATAAAATCTGCTATAAAATTTCATGCTTGATTTCAGTATTTCTTCGAGTAGACAACAGATTAAGAAAGAGAAATGCAAATCGTATTTGTGATATTTATATGATAGCAATTATTTTATACGCATTATTCATTTAATTTTTCTTGTACTTGTTATGAGAGGTTCAGCTACGTATCACTATATATTCATAGCGCTACAACAAAATAAATTTATTTTAAAAGTGCAAAGCATTTATTCCACTGTCGTACAACTCTATCGCCGGTAGTCCTTTAGTTGACGTCTTTTCCGCAATTTTTTGCAATAGAGAAAACTCGACTACACGGAAACTTCAGTAGTACGACATAAAAGCATTACGGCGGTAACGAACTAGGATACAAATTCACTCTATCCATATTAATGAGCCGGCGGCTCCGTGACAAATACAGCTGCATCTAGGAAGATTCACACGCATTCGCTTATTTATTACATTGGCAAAAGCAACCGACTCTACGCGACGATTGATTAGAGGATTCGTTCAGCCCGAGATAGGAATTGATTTCGGATAATTGGAGATGAACTAAATATACTTGTTATTAGAACCTTTGTTCAACCTTTAATAATATGTACTTGGAGCTAAAAGCTTTGTTCCTAATTGAAACTCCATTCGTAATTAATAAGCCCTTTGTTTTTAAATAATATAATATTTATTATTCTAGATTTATATCTTCTTTGAATATTACAAGTTCATCAACTAAATTTGAGATATATATATATATATATATATATATATATATATATATATATATATAGGTGGTAAATTACAGCAAAATACAGTTTGGATGAAAAATAAATTTTATTTCACACGTCTAAGAATACGTGCATCTTGTTCATGAACACTTCATTACAGAGCGGAAATCGCCCGTGTTTTTATAAATATATTACATCATGTGCAAGAACACGGAAACTCATACAGAAATATATATATATATATATATATATATATATATATATATATTCATATGGTTAGTATTATTCTAGGGCAGATCGGTGAGCTGAGTTATACACCAACTCGATTCAGGAAAGAATAGTGTAAAAGATTTCTCTTTGCCATTTTACACCGCCATTTTACACCATGCCAGAAATGGGCTTATTTCAATGGAAAATATATTTTTGACCCATATTTTCAAGTAAAAATGAACATCGCTGCGGCTCGATATTAAGTAGTCTAAAGCGGCGGTTTGATCCCACGACGCTGTAGAGATATTTTTTAAACCTTTAAGTAATTCATATTGTTTTTAGATATTAATCAACAATTAGTTTTCTCATTTTAATATTATTTATGACAACTAAAATGAGAATATTGTGGTATAAATCCAACTCGTTCCACCAACAACCGGTATCGGCAAATGCATCTTAACCTTATACAGGCGGTCGTTTCAGGTCAAAACGAAAATTTGGGTACCACATGCAGTTGGGACAGTCGGACTTTCACAACATTTTGTTAATTTTAAAATAAAATTTACTGAGTTTACCGGCAAGAGTAAAGCAAATAATAACAAATGTAATGGAAAATTAAAAGTACATAAAAATAAAAAATAATATATCACAAAGATGTGAGAAAAAAGTAATAAAAGAAAAATTGAAGAGTAAATAATATAAAAATAATTTTTAAAAATAATTAAAAACTGTAAGTAATAATGAAAAATGAATATTTGTATAATCACAAATATAGTAAAAATATAATATAAGAGTAAAAATGTTTAAAAAAGGGTGGAAATTTAAAATAATAGATCCTATTTCAACTATCACATATTAGCGATACATATGAAAGTTTAAAACGTAAAATAAAATTTACGGCTGTATTTAAAATAAATATCCAACATCCTAGCCCGCCGGTCTCTCATAACCATTTATACTTAAAGCGTACAAACACAGCCGCCAAACGTATTCTTTTCCGACAATTTTCCACTGGACGGAAATTGTGAAAATTAAATGAAATTGGCAAAGCGCCCTCGACTGGATCCACGGTATAAACTGAACATCCGCCGCCCAAATGTCAGATGGACGATACGAGGAGCGTGCTGTGTATTACGTCCAGGGCACCAACATATAAACTTTCCACGGGTACAACACATATATATCCTAGGATACTAGAAAGCCAATCGCAAATGGAGATAACGGCGAAAAGAAGCACCATGGAAAAAATAAAATACAAATGCTGCTGAATTAACTTGCACTGTGAACCGAAATGCAATATATGGAGGCGGGGTGAGGGATGGAGCTACACTACACTGTCGATAAAAAAACTGTCTAGAAATTAAAGTTCATTGTTTAAAATTATATCAGGCTTTTTAATTTTTACTGGTGATACATACAATAGTTGTTTTGAGTTGATTAGATTTAATTCGTTTGGACCAACTTTGTTTCGATCTGATTAGTTCTTATCGTGAATTATAGAAAGAGTTCGTGATCAACCAAGATGCTGTCGAAATCTGTTAAAATAGTACACTTTTCGTCGATTTATGCGCTTAAATACCAGATATAATTATTGGCTATATCAGACCAAAAAATGTTGTATATTTAGATAAAATGATAGATAGATATGTTATTTGTTGGCTAATGTTATGATGATGTTACTAGTTTGTCACAACAGCATGATATCACAATATCTAGAGTAAAGGTTCGAAATTCAAATGAAGTTATACAAATCTTCTTCATTCATTTATTCTCATTTCTCAGTGTATTTCAACTGCTACGATATAAAAACGGCTAATTATGCTCGACCAGCATACGTTTTTCCCAGTAAAAAGTATAAATGATGTCGGTCGATCAAAGGGCAGCAAGGCTAACATCGCTTTCCTCCTGCTCGTGCCGTTGCCGCGTCTTGTACCTAGTTTGCAGTTCACAAAGAGCGGTCATGTGACGCAGAACGTTTTCAAAGCGACATGAAAGTACGGATGTGGCATACAAGAAATTTCGTGGCAAACCGAACGATCTGACCACGTTCTGCCAGGTGTGGTAAACCAGAGGGAAAAAATATTAGGGATAAATATACATTTCAATTTATATCAGATATAGAATTGATAAAGAATGAACTGAACTGAACAGGGTTATTAAAAAGACAGGACATTGGATATGACCCATTCGAAAAGAGTGCCCTTATAGAATGTCGTCAAAGATAAAATAGAAGCAGTGAATGCATTTTAGCAAACAGTTGTGGCAAATAATGCATTGGCAATGGAAAGAATATAAATAAGTAAAGTATGAAGAAATTTGCATATTAAAACAATAAATATTTTAATTAAACTAAATACCGAAAACAGCCCGTTACTTTTCTACCATTCTCCTACACACTACCAGAGGGCAAACTGTGCAGACAGATGGCCTCATATTCACATACGTTTTCACACAAACTGGCAACAGAGAGGCGCTCATGCATACGTATAAGGGGTATAGTTTAATTGCATTTAGACTAGTAGTCATGATTCACATATATACACATGTGTTTACATATGAACTAAATGTGTGTGAAAAGCTTATTTTGTTAATTCTCTCTAATCAGCATAGCGTTATTGCACAGTCGCCTTTATAAACCCACGTTTGTGGCAGACACATTAATGTAATAGTAAAATTATAAACATTATATGCCCAATGATAAATAAAGTTCGATTAGATATTTAATGATATATATATATATATATATATATATATATATATATATAATATATAATGTGTATGTGTACATACATAATACATAATATGTATTATGTATGTATGTATATATATAACAATATTTGATTATTGTTCTAATTATTCTTAATTCCAAAGTTAAGTATATTTTAACGTTGATATATTTAGATTTAGGTTAAGTAAATATCCTTTTACCCTCAAAATTAGGCTATCACTCTTGAATAATACCTTGAACAAATACACCGTCGTTCTCATTACCCAAAGCAATTACATTCAAATTTCTTCGGATATATCGTATCACATCACCCTGATGAAAATTACCTACCCTTAACCGTCGTTTTAAGTACAATTCATCTAAGGATCTAATTAGACACATAATGAGAATTGCGGCCCAATTAACAAAGACGGTGAGCTTCTCATGTTGGATTAAAGGTTTATTTTCCTTGAAATAGAACAAGAACACCTTTGAAGGCATATACTAATTTTCATTTGACTTTAATTGATATTGATTGGACTTAAAATTTCATGATTAT